GGTGTAGCGACGCCCGCGCCGGGGCGGAGCGGGGATCGGCTACCTACCCCCTCGTCCTCTTCGCCCGCCCTCGGCATCCCGAGCCCGACATGAAAACATTCGCGAGTGGGGTTGTAGGTGCCCTCGTCGTCGAGTCCGAGTAGCCGGCGATGAGTCGCTATGCGGCAAGAATGGCGCAAAGCCCCAGGGTTGTGGAGTTTGGAGAAATCCACCCCGGGCCATGCCTCGTCCTCGTCCGAGGAGTCTGAGTGGGTGCTCAGGGCGAGTTCCGAGGGGTGCTCGTGAGCGGCAGTGTAAGCGTAGGCATAAGAAGCGGCGGCATTTCTCAACCCAAAGGGGTATGGGGACGGTGCTGCCTCCAGATTCTGCCCACGGGGTCGGCTCTTCAGGGTGGTAGGCGGAGCTGACGACCGGACATCGCCAAGCGTGCCATAGGCAAGTCTCCTTTGTCCAAGCTCAGGGCTAGACAGTCCCCACCAGGACCCCAATGCCAACAAATGGTCGTAGGATATTGGCGGGGGTGGCGCGTCGCCGGATTCACGTGAGCGCCGGGGTGGCCTTGTTCGTGCCATGCTTGGCGAGCGCGGCGAGAGCGGCTGCCCGGACGCCGCCTGCGCCTGGGCTGCCGGGGCGTAACTTCATCGTTGGTTGGTGGGGCTCGAGGAGTGAGGAGCACCATGTCATACTCATGCCCTAGAGACATGAACTCTAGGCTCCCGAACCAAACCACGGTGCCGAGACGCAATGGTCGTACGTGGTCTGCCATCCGGAACCTGCTGGGATGAAGAAACCGACACGCAGTGCCCCTACCTGGTGCGCCAACTGTCGGTGTTTCGGACCAGGGGGTCCTCAACCAACTAGTGAATTTGTTCTGCGTGCTCCCGATCCGGATGGTGATGCAAAGAGACACAAGGTTTATACTGGTTCAGGCAATCGAGGCCCTACTTCCAGTCTGAGAGATCGATCTTGTATTCCTTGCACCGAGGTGCTCGTAGTAGGGGGTTACAAGCTAAAGGAGAGAAGGAGCTGGTCCTAGGTCTCAGCAGGGTGCCGTGTGGGCCGCTTGAGACGTTGCTCTCCGGCGGCAGGAGTGTGCGTGTGTGTTACAAGGTGTTCCCCTCTCCTCCTTAAAACAACCCATGTCCTCTCCTTTTATAGCATGAAGGGAGGACTAGGGCGGTACATGAGCTGACTATACGGCGTCGTGTGAACAGAGGCGGCGTGTCCGGGGCCTGAGCCTTGCTCTGTGGCGGTGTGTCCGTGGAGTGGTCCATCCTTGGAGTATCAAGCGGCGTGGTCATCCCATCGATCTCTGTGGCGTCGTGGGAGCCCCGGAATGCCTCGGAGTGGGCGCGGCGGCGACCGCAAAGCCACCGTGGACGGATCTGCGCGCGAGGCCGAGGCTTGGTCGATGCCGAGGTCGGCATCATGTGGGGGGTCTCGGCAGCACGAACCCCAAGATCGCCGAGGCCCCGGTGTGCATCCGAGGCCTTGAGCGGGCGGCCGATCATGGGTACAGCGTTTGGACACAATGGTCTGTAATCCCCTCGCTGCACCTGTCCTAGCCGGTATGGTGCTTGATCGTGGACACAGTGGTAGGACACACGATGGCCGGTAATCCCGTCGGACCTCGTCCCGGCGGTAGTGAGCGCCGATGGCGACCGACTCGAATGTCGCGTCGGCCATCTGTGGCGTTGAGCCACCGTCCGGCTGAGATTATGGGAGTGGTTGAAACATTAATGAGACATGACGAGTTGTTGGGAGGGTCGGCCAAGCGGGGGCGACGGACCGCGGACGAGTCGGCCTCGAGCGACACGGAGAATGAGGCCCCGCGCGAGGCGGAGATCAGGTTCTTTGCGAGGCCTCGCGGCGAGACGCTCATGCGATCTGGAGAATGTACCCATGCCGAGGCCTTCCCTGGATAGCCTCGGGCGAGACGGAGAGCGCCCCTACTGGGCTCGGCGCGCCCCGCCGAGACCTACCTACTCGGGAGCCTCGCAGAGGCGGAGTTTGTTCTGAGACCCCCTGCTCGAGGCTCGAGGCGAGGTGGAGGAGGGCTCGGTCGTGGCAGGTGAGGGGCCCACGGCTTACCTTCTAGCTTTATTTTGATGTTTGCTTGGAGTACCCCGTTCTAAGGTACCCGACAAATGGAAAAAGTCTATTTAACCCCTCACCTTTCATACTTGGTCTACTTCACCTCTCAACTATGAAACCGTCTGTTTTACCTCCTGAACTTTCTAAAACCGTCTGTTTTACCCTCCGAACTTTCTAAAACCGTCTATTTTACCCCCTGGGTAGTTTTCAGCGGCGGTTTTCTATAGTAACAGCGGGTTGCTACAGTAACAGTGGTTTTGAATTTTTTATTTATTTATTTTCGGTGAATTTTTGAAAAATCATAGTAAATCATAGAAAAATCATAAAATGAAAAATCTAATTTTGTTGGACTCCACATGAGTAGATCTACATAGTGAATATATAATACGGTATGCTTTAGTACAAAATTTTTACTGTAACCTTAGATTAATTGAAAAATCTAATTTTGTCTGTAATTAATTGGAATAATTCATAGCTGCAGCTTCTATGGTCCAATTGTGGTAAAATTTTTATGGTACGCTAATTATTGTATGCTTCAACTATAGTAAAAATTTCGTACTCATTGGACTATGTATAACTTAGTTATAGATAAATTCTAATTAATTATAGACAAAATTGGATTTTCCAATTAATCTAAAGCTACAAAAAAATTTGTACTAAAGCATACCGTATTATATATTCACTGTGTAGATCTACTCATGTGGAGTCCAATAAAATTAGATTTTTTATTTTATGATTTTCTATGATTTTTCAAAAATTCACCGAAAATAATTTAAAAAAAGGAAATTCAAAACCGCTGTCACTGTAGCAACCCACTGTCACTGTAGCAACCGCCGCTGAAAACCGCCCAGGGGGTAAAATAGACGGTTTTAGAAAGTTTAGGGGGTAAAACAGACGGTTTCATAGTTTGGGGTAAAGTATACCAAGTATGAAAGGTGGGGGGTTACGTAGACTTTTTCCCTAGACCAATTAGGTAGCCAGTGTTTTCTTCTTTCCATTTTGACTCATGGCCTATACCGTGCTACTTAGAGAAGTTGATTTCCATCTCCCATATATTCTAATATCAATGCTGCATACCACTCCATTTAATCAGCGTGTAGAATCTTGCTGTGCAGATACTGAGAAATAGCTACAGAAATATCTGATTTCTTGCATAAGCCATGCTTTGTGTATAAACGCTCTAGGCTATGTTCACTTGGATTGGTTGGTATGAGTCAAGAGGCATTTGTTTGATTTACGTAATAAAGTTATAAGATGCACATTGCTCAAAAATTAAATCCATATGGATATATAAGCATGATATTTTCCTTCTGCTTCTTTATTTCTCTCTTTGAACAATGGAAGAGAACCTCTGTTTGTATCTTTAAAGACAACAATCTGTTAAAGTTCTAGCCTAGTACAAATTTAAAAAGAAACACAATATAATCTATAAAGAAATACTAGAGCCAATATATGACGCAGAAATATAGAGATCAGTATACAGTTATATCATATATGCATGACCATGACATGAACTCAGTATCAGAATGAGAATATAGAGATCGAATAACTAATATTCATAAGTTCATAATTGAAAGAGCAAATGCTAGGTAAGTGGTCCACACTCCTTACTTTATCAAGTTAAATCTTGATAAATAAATCTTAAGACGAGGCATCACTTGCTGTTTGTAACAAAATGAAAGTATCAGGTTAAGTACAGTAGAGCAGTAGTGCATTAATAAGTTTTAGATCCACAATAATTAACCTGTGCAAAAGTATTTTAATTCTTAACCTGAAGTGCAGCTATTGTCTTGTTGAAATGTAACAAAAATATTGCTGAAAAACATCAAGCTTTTCTTAACCTATCATCTATTTTGTTCTAGTGAGCAAAAAAAAAAAGTGATAATAATGGTAAAAAGGAAAAATCATATGAGAGGGGGAGAGCACTAATAAGATTTAGAGGCTGTATGTTATCAGATGTTGCTCTTATTATTCCTCTCTGTCCATAACAAATAAAATGAGCAAGATCATGGGGAAGACACCTGAATAGATGATAAGAGGAGCTCATCTGTTTGGCTGGGTGAGTCCAGTCTGACAGGGCTACAGCTAGTATATCCGACATAGAAGATCAACAGATAATCTGTCAAAAGAAAAGGAGAACTTGCAGCTTAGTTGCAGCATACTACCTTCCTATATTAACAGTGTACTTAAGAATAGTAAACATAGAAATGGCTTACTGAATATATGAAAGGATAGATTCATGCAATCCACTTATACTGAAGGCCAATCAGCCAAAAGACTTACATGGGATAAAAAAGCTCATGCATGTATTTTATAAATCTTTCTTTTTAATGCAGGGGGGAGTTTATACTATGTTATTGCAATCAAATAAACCTGAGAGTTGCACAAACAAACCAAAAGAAAAGGGAATGTGTGAGAGCCCATCAATCAGTTGTGAGGAGCTATTGATATATAGCACCTAATGTCAATTGGAGATCACGTAAAACTAACCAGGACCTGCAGCTTATTCCACACAAACATGCACAAGGAATTAAAATTTGATGGCATAAACAATAAGAGTGCCACGGAAAAATTGTAGCCGGTGATGCTCCCAAATAAGCAAACACGACCAAGATACTACGGTGTGTTAGCCAAGCGGTCGCTTTGGTTCGATTGTAGTGAGATTTTCTGATCTAGTTTCAGTTGTGCTGTACTGGGATGGTTGCAACTCACTGCAAAAGAAAAATCTTAGTTTGTTTTTGGGCCATTTCGTAATTTATTTGTTAGAACTGCGTGTTTATTTGATCAACACTTACAATGAGAAAATATGGCCCCATTGTTAATTCCTGATTCCTCTTGTGATACATGTTAAATGTCTGGGGAAATAAATTATTTCTGTCTTTATTCCTTCCCGTTTTATCCTGCAGACGATTGATAAGCTGGGGAAAGCAGGGGAGGTGGTCAAGGTTGCACCTGGCCACTTCCGCAACCACCTTATGCCCAAGATGCTCGCTGTCCCAAACCTGGACAAATTCGCCATACTCATCCGAGAGCAGCGCAATGTAAGCTCTGTTCCTTAGTCCTTCAAAATGCTACCCCAAGCATGTCTGTTAGGGTGGGTAGTTGCTGCAAACCATGAGCTTCAGTGTTTGGGGCGTACCCAGTGCAGAGAGCCCCCGCTCTGTGCGGGGTCTGGGGAAGGGTGTCAGTGGCAAGCCTTACCCTCGCCTGTGCAATGTGAGGAGACCGTGACTTGAACTCGGGACCTTTCGGTCACAGACGGTAAGACTCTACCGCTTACATCAGACCCGCCCTTTACTGTCCAAATATGCATTTCACTTTGGACTAAACATGACTGTTCATGCAACATTCCCTGGCATAGCTGTTTCCTATGGCAATGTGATAAGTACCCTAAGAATTTGGTGATACTTGGTGCAACCGCATTGAAAGTATTGTGGTGCACTGGTGCCTCTACTCCATTCCTAGTTCCCACCGAGTTTGTTACTTACAGCTCTGTTCATTTGTAACCTTATAAGGCGTTGCTTCTTTAATCAGCTCTACCAACGTGAAGAGGAGGTGGTGGTGAAACAAGTCACAAAGGAAGATGATGATGCCCAGGTAGGTTCTGCATCTTACGAGTTAGAAACATTTTCTGACCTGCTTTGTTGACGAAAGTTCTTAGTAGAAAACTTGATTGCATCGACTGTTTATTTCTCTCCAAGGCCAGTTAACATTACCTCAAGTTGATTTTTCTGTTTTGGTCTAAGTTTGTTTTGATGCTGTCTACTACATTAAGATAGTGGGTTATTTATTGTTTTATAAAAATATAGCCACCACTGTTGCTCTGCTGCCTAATATAAGTTCAACAGCTTCTTTCTGTCTCTTAAAAATGCAATGTGCTTAACTTAAAAAAAATGCAGTGTGCTTGCTTCTGTGTTATATAAAAGCACCTTTGCTTACTATAATCAACATTTTCTTAACTCTAAGATCGACTTCTGGATACGTTTAGATCTAAAAACTTCCGATTCTGCTTGAAGGCTGATATTGTGTGCTTTCCCCTGCCATATACTTCCTCTTCTTTTCTGATGGTACTGATTTACTTGTCAATTACTATTTCAACAGCTACAGGAAGAAATACTGAAGCAGTACCAAACAGCAGCAAAGCGGCTAGATAATGCACTCTTGTTTAGTCTGCTACCACTAAAAAGTGGAAAGTTTACTTCACTATTTGTTCATGTAATAGCATTAAATCATGTTTTTGTGTATTGTGCATTTGCATGTTTCATTTATTGATAAAGTTTAGCCATGGAAGTATTGATCAACTCTGATATTTGGCAGGTGTTGAGGAGGTTCATCTCAACTGGAAATGAGCTGTGAACTCCTGTAACAACAACAACAACAACATAGCCTTTTAGTCCCAAGCAAGTTGGGGTAGGCTAGAGTTGAAACCCACCAAGAGCCCCAAGTCACAGTTTAGGCACTTAAATAGCTGCTTTCCAAATACTCCTATTCAAACATAGATCTCTAGGTATATCCTAAGCTTTCAAATCAATTTTTATTGCCTCCCTCATGTCAATTTCGGTCTTCTTCTACATCTCCTCATATTATTAGCTTGGCTTAGGATTCCATAATGCACCAGTGCCTCTAGAGGTCTTCTTTGGACATGGCCAAACCAGCTCAACCGATGTTGGACAAGCTTTTCTTCAATTGGTGCAACCTCTAGGCGATCACGTATATCATCGTTCCGAACTCGGTCCATTCTTGTGTGACCGCAAATCCATCGCAACATACGTATTTCTGCAACACTCAGTTGTTGAACATGTCGAATCTTTGTAGGCCAATATTCTGCTCCATACAACATAGCTGGTCTAATCGCCGTTGTATAGAACTGCGAAGTCCTGTAACAAAAGATGAAATTGTTTCCGAGGTACCTTTGAAGCTCTCAATACCCCATGTAGCATCTCTAAATTTCAGCTTTCCCATGACTTGTCTACTTCACCTACAGGTGGCAAGGCAACTCAACATCACCATCCATCCAGAGAATCTACACCTGCAGTCACCTTTAGCGTCGCTTGGTGAATTTGAGTTGCCCCTCCGGTTACCTCTGGACATACCACGCCCAGAAGGTAAGCTCCAATGGACTCTGAAGGTTAAGATCAGGAGAAAATAAGCGCAGAAACTGGGGAAATTTCTTTTGCTCCCACAATCCGGTGCATGATACCCAACCATTGTAGCCTTGTGGAATAGGTTTCCACTGTCTGAAAGTGGGGTACTGGGTTTTGCTGTTTGAACACCTTGCCCGTGAGGCACATGAACAGCTTCATGATGACTTGTTGAGCATATGTGGTAAATCCATGGGCAATAAAGCTATCTATGTTTTCTCATATTATGTGGAATTATATTTGGTGCATATGGACCTGTACTGTGTTTGTGTTTTAAATTAGAATTCTAAATTATGGATTTGAAATGTTGTTGAATTGTTTACGTGGTTGAATCACAAAATTTTGGATTTATTTATGATGTTGAAATGAGGTTTACAATACAAGATATATGTAAGAGATGAGAGATGAAGGGAAGGTAATCTAGCGGGGAAAAAAAAACTGCTAGGCCCTGATATGTATGACTACAGCGTCGCAGGCTTGAATAGGGATCCTGCTGCATGGGCGGATCCTACATCAACTACTACATAGCTCATATACACATAAGGGCGTATCTAGTGCAGAGAGCTTCTGCTCTTTGCGGGATCTAGGAAAGGACGTCAGTGGTAAGCCTTATCCTCGTATGTGCAATACGAGGAGACCGCGACTCGAACCCGAAACCTTCTGGTTACAGGCGGTAAGACTCTACCGCTTGCACCAGGCCCGCCCTTCATAGCTCATATACACATATGAACATCAATTTACAATGCAAATTAGAGAACATCATTGTTGTCCTGTAACAGCATAAAACAGGGCTAGCTTCTCCCATGGCCTGTTAGACGTGTGTTTTGTGCCCCAACCGTCAAAATGTGGCCTTAGTATGAGCCTTGCTGGAGCTACTGTGAGCGTGTCAATCTCGATCAACACTATAAAACCACAGCTGAAATTCTGGAAGCAGATAAAAAAGTCGACCATGCGTGGTTGTGCTAGCTGTTCAGATAAAAGTCTGTATGACTATCTATATGCAGTTGCTTACAATTGCGTTGCATCACCGATGATTCCATCGGTAGCGAGAGGACGGCGAGTGGATCGCTCCAGCAGCGTGTCGCTTCTTCAGCTTCTTGTAGTCGTCGTTCCGCGCCACCTTGCTTCTGTGCCCCGCCGCCGCCCAATTTCCCCTCGCAATCCTCTCCCGCCGCTCCTATGACAGACCATCATCATCAGGCAACATGCTGGCAGGCGGCGGAGCAACGACGTCATCGTCACCGCCGCCGCCGTCTTTCTGTGAATGGAGCCGGAGCTAGTGCTGACGGCGCAATGGGTTATGGGATCGTCGTCGTCCACGTCGACAAAGCACAAGCACTTGCTGGTCCGGTCTCTAATATAATGGACCCTCGAGAAAACGTCCCTCCGTTGAGAGCTTTCAACCATTGTGTACTTAGAAAAATATACACAGAAATTCATCTCTATTAAAATTAAGGGCTACTAAAACATCTAAACCAAATCCGATGGCCACGATTCGATGTGTGATGCTAGGCTTCTCACCTCGGCTTCTCACCCCCGCGCCCTCCTCGCACTTCAACGCGCAACACCACAATCGAAGCCAATCATCACCGAATAAAAAAAATTAAAAAAGACATTCGACTCCTTGGTTTGCCATAACCCTACACCGTCAAACGCCCCTCTCCCCGCCGCCACCGCCAGTTGAGCGTGGGCGCCTCGCCCATCCTCCCGCCGTTCCCCACCTCTCCTCCAGGTCGCGTGTGCGGTGGTCGGCTGGTTCTCGATTGGGTTGTTAGCAGTCGAAGCCACCCGCACTGCGCGGCGGCAGCCTCAGGTCTCGGCCCCGGTGGCCGTGGACCGGTGGCGAGTCGAGCGCCAGTGGCCGGACCGCAACGCCGACTACCTACCCTGCCTCACTGCCTCCCGCTCTCCCCACTGATGCCAGCGATACCCGAGCGCAGGACCGGGTGACCGCGCCGCCACCGCCGCGAGCCAGGTGCGTAGGTCTTCGACGGGCCCTTCATCGGCGACGAGCACCAAACAGGTTTGCCCACCCCTTCTCTTCCCTAATGCACCTGCGCCTCTAATCGCCGCCCTCGCCGCCTCCCAGATCTAGGCTTGTGGTGCTTAGCTTCAGTTGGATCGTGTTCGGCTGGGGACGGAGTCACTCACTGCGCCGTTGTTGTGTCCCTGCGCCATCGCTGCGTCGACTTCCCGATGCGCCGAGTCAGGCGTCGTTGCTAACCCTGTGCTACATCGGCCAAACTCTGCATCTCTCAGCGCACGCGTGACGCGTGAGGCACTGAGCCTGCGCGTGGGTGTCAGCGAGGCGGCGGGTGCACATCCTGCTACCCAATGGCGTGTGGCTTTTCTTCACATCTAATCTCCCCACGAGCTTAGACACCGTAGCCAGGGGAGCCTGATTTTATTTCGTGATTTTGAACAGGGACACGCTTTTAGTGCTGCTCAATGGTGAGATCCCGGCGCTCCTCGCCTTCTTCAACCCACCATCTGCCTTCCAAGCAGCTCTCCAAAAATTGGGCTGCAACTTTAATATGTTGACTTTGGCAGAGGTATGAATAATTTGTAAAGAATATAGGGATTGAGGCAGAAATGGTTGATCTAGGACAAGATGAAGACAGCGTGCTTGCGAGGATGTGATGGCGATTGTTGAGAACACATACCAAATTAATAAGGGCGTACCCAGTGCAGAGAGCTCCCGCTCTGTGCGGGGTCTGGGGAGGTGTCAGTGGCAAGCCTTACCCTCGCCTGTGCAATGCAAGGAGACCGCGACTCGAATCCGGGACCTTCCGGTCACAGGTGGTAAGACTCTACCGCTTACACCAGGCCCACCATTCACATACCAAATTAATAAGTTAACTTATTATCTATCATGCACAACTATTAACTTTTCTCAGGACAGAATTCTTGGTGGACATTTTGAAGAGCCATGCAAATGAATGTGGAGACAATCGTCCTGTTCGCTTGAACTGCTTATCACCGTGGTACAGTATTTGTCTCTCACAACAAAACAGTATCAGCCGGCTTATCAAGAGCAGAAACCATCAGCCGAACCCAGCTTATAAAGTTAATAGCTGTGCATGACAGATAATAAGCTAACTTATTAATTTGGTATGTATTCTCAACAATCGCCATCACATCCTCTCAAGCACGCTGTCTTCATTTTGTTCTAGATCAACCATTTCTGCCTCAATCCCTATATTCTTTTTCAATTGTTCTGTATCGAGATGAGCAAAACCTATAATAATTAATTTTATATACCAAATTATTAATCAATCTCTATAGTTGTTGCCGGACAGGTAACAGTGATAAGCTCAGCTTTTCACAATGATATAGATGAGCCACTGACTGTCGATTGCTGCTAACTAAAGGCAAGAAATTCTTTATCTCCTACTTTTTCTACAATGTTATCTAGGTTGCTGCAAATTTAAAATAATAACAACCTGCGAGGAAAGAAAGGATGATATTTCATCAGACAAGAGATAAGGAACGAGAAGAATACAAGCTAATACTAATATATTTGACCGCGCCCACCGCCAGCGACATACAAAGCCTAAAAAGGACCCAGAGAGGACTGCCACCCAAAATAATATGATGTAAATCAGCATCGATCCAAATTAAGCAAAAAGGACAATATATTTCTTGAAAATGCTGGCCCTTTCATATTCAGTAGTTTTGCAAAAGGATGGCCAGTATTAAGCAAAAGGATAATATGATCTAAGAGTAGTTTTGTACAGAACTTAGATCCAAATCTTTACTTAAGATTCTTTTCCCTACATAAACATGAGAAAACTACATTTAATGTAGCCCATCATCTATCCTGCATTCCTACCCATCAGCTAATGACAGATGAGTAGGAGAAAATAATACTGGCCACAACAATTATACCGTTTAGCATCTTGCATGTGGATAGCTTATACAAACTGTCGGGTATCGATATTAGGGATACCCAAAATAAGGAAGTTGGTGCCCACGTTGACTTCCCCGGATGACTCGAGATGTATTAAAAGGTCTCGCCCGACCCAAAGGCCGCGGGCTCCGTCTCACCCGACCTCAAGGCCGTGGGCTCCGTCTCGCCCGACCTCGAGGCCACGGGCTCCGTCTCGCCCGACCCCAAGGACGCGGGTTCCATCTCGCCCAAGGCCGCGGGTTTCGTCTCGCCCGACCTCGAGGCCGCGGGATCCGTCTTGCCCAACCTCGAGGCCGCAGGTTGCGTCAGGATCCGTCTTGCCCGACCTCAAGGTCACGGGCTGCGTCTCGTCCAACCCCTTGGGTGCGGGCTCCGTCTCGCCCGACCCCAAGGACGCGGTTTCTGTCTCGCCCAAGGTCGCGGGCTTCGCCCCACCCGACCTCGAGGACGTGGGTTCTGTCTCGTCCGACGGGGACCCATACCGCCGCCAACCACTCCAGTCCAAGCGTATGGGCCTGGGTCAAAACTCTGACGCCAGGGAAGAGGCTGGCACACCTTGATGTAACCCGTGGACATGACGGGCTATACCCGGGGATTCACATCAAGAACAGTGTCGGGCGCGCCGGTGCTATTCTGCCTAATCCTCGTATGGACGCTGACAGGCACGTCAGTTCACCATGACGTCCGGGACAAAGTGGAATGCCATGACCGGCAGATGACGCCTGCATATGGCGCAAGTGACGAATCAGGGCCGCGACATGAAGCCGTCCCTATTGACATCTACAGGATCAACAGGACCCACATGAAGGAGAAGAAGGACCCGGCAACCCTGGAAGCCTTCTTCCCTATCTCGTTCTTCTACTTTTCCTCCTCTATAACCCGCGATTTCCCTTCGTCTATAAAAGGAGAAGCAGGGCGCCCCATGGAGGGGGATCTGAACACAAGAGCATGACACGAGCACACGGCTGAGCGACAAGCGAGCTCTCAGCACCTGTTCACTCCTTCCACTAGAGACTTGGGATCATCTCCCTCTCTCGTCTGTTTGTAACCCCTACTGCAAACCAAGTGCCAGTAACACGAGCAACATTGAACTAGACG